AAAATATAATGTTGGATCTACTTCATAATGAAGTAGGCGGTTAATAAATATTAAATTTATAGTATCTGGTATGTATTTAATATAGCCTTCGAGATCCAGATGACTATCAGCTTTAAACAAATCATCAATGAACAGTAATAAACATTCATCTACAAGTAAATTTGCTGCATCTTGATCAATTTTTTTGACTAAAGATAACGTTGAAATAATACTGCAAGGATGCTGTAAAAGTTTTTGACACGCTTTTTTTAATCGTAATTCATAATCAGTTGAAGTTTGTTTAGAACACGGTAAAAGACTTTTAAGCTCTTCAATATCAGCATCTGTAATAGCAGTATTTTCAGAGTTACAATGATTTTCATCAGGCACTTGGTCTGGACTGGAACATGTTGAATCCACAAACAGTTTAAAATAATCTAGAATATAACGAACTAAAATTTTTATACAAATATGCAAGATATTAAATGGATATATTGAAATGATTCTACATGTACATTTTTTTAATGCTCGTTATATCTTGTTCAATAAATATGAAAAGAGAACATGGATTAATTATATTCAAAAAACATAATAAGTATATATGTACAAATACTATACACATAGAATAGATGTGTTTAATACTACTGTAAACATATAGGTCAAAATTTTTTTATTGTTCATATATATATGTATATATTGTAACGTTCTTTAGAGCATATAAGATGCAAACAATGGATTAATTTATTATTCATTCAAATATGAAATTAATTAAGGTGTTCTCATGCGACATTTAGCAATAGAACAGTACATTTGCATTGGAATGTATTTATCTGCAAAAAAAATTTATCAATTCGAAATATTGCTTCAGTTGCTTTTGTATTTATTGTATCTATTTGACAATAATTCGTTAGAAATACTTTTCTAACCGACACTCCTTAATAAGTAATTATGGTTTTAGACCATCAATATATAATTATCAAAGGAATAGTTGAATGTAAAAGATAGAGGATATTCTATTCAATTGAATCACAATAAACTGTTGTGTTAATAAATATAAGAACCCAGGTCGATCATTCCGGCCACCGGATACTGCAGGATCCGGTAGGAAAATGCGGGAAAAATCACCGTATCCTGCAGGAAAACACGGGAAATACCGGGGAGTGGAGGCAGTATTCCGACCGGAAAT